CCTGTGGCGGCCTCGGTACAGACTGCGTACTGCTCGTGGCCAGCGAACATAATGGTGACGCTGAGGTCCTGAAGACAGCTGACACCAAATAGATTCCTGGAGAACGAGGGGATGTACATGTCTGTAAGGGAGCCCGGTGGAACCGCCGGACAGGGAAGGGTAGTGGAGCTACGGGCAATTACCGGACCTCAGGAGGGGTCAGGAAGCGCGACTGCGACAGGGGCGGCAATTGGCGTGAGCGCAGTGTGGTCGCGGAAGAAGCAGGCAAGCGTGAATGAGAGCGAAGCGGAAGCGGCAGCCGGCGGAGGGGCTAGCGTGGAGCCTAGGCTAAACAAGGCAGAAGGTCTTACGCTTGACGCATCAGGGGAGCCTAGACTACACACAGGAGGCACACCTACACTCGGTGGCGTAGTAGAGGCTAAGTCAGCGACGGCTGCGACAAGAGTGTTACGACTCGAGACATGAACAGACGGGTCGATTACGAGGGAGGCAAGGACCCGAGGAACAAAAGGACTAGCGGCACGAAGGTAGTCAGACAGAGGAGGCGGAGTGACAACAAACGACAACGGAGGAGGCGACAGGAGGAGGGGAGGATGAGACGCGCGAGAACGGTGCAACATAGGGTGAGAGCGGTGAACAGGAGAGACAGGACGAGCACGAGAGGGACGGCGAGACCAGAAGTGGGACGAAGGCGTCGGGTCAGGAGACACTGGAGCAGACACAGGAGGAGACACAGGAGGAGAACAAGGGTTTAGGGCCGTAGACAGGCAGGGGAGGCGGCGGCGGGGGAGGTGCAGGTGGGTGGTCAGGGGAGGGAAGACCGAGGAGGCGAAGGGCGGACATCGTCGGAAATTGCTGCTATTGCTGCTGCTGCTCCACGCCGACACCTGAACCTCCGGCTGCACCATGACTACCTTCGGGACACTCCACGCCAACACCTCCAGAGCGAGAACCCTCACCAATACCGGGGCCACCCCCAGGACTGCCGGGACGAGCCACGACAGGAACCCCAGGATTAGCACTCCCACAACCAGCACCCTTAGAACGAGAAGCCTCTCTAGCACCGGTGCCACCTCTAGGACCACCGGGACAAGCCACGACAGGAACCCTAGGACGAGCACCTTCCTCAACGCGCGCACCCCCAGAGCTCGCAGACCCCTGCGACGGCGGCGGCTGCTGCGACGGCGGAGGAGGAGACACCGGGGCGGAGAAAGGCGGCGAGAACGGTGCCGCGAGGCCACCAGAGTCAGCCGACTCCTCGACCGGGACAACCGACGGGAGGGGATGGACGTGAGACACACCAGACAGGGCAGGACAGGGAGGGAGAGGAGTAGGGGCTACCGGTGGAGTGGGAAACAGAAGCAAGGGCAGGGAAACCAGGAGACCTTGGTGGGGAAAGCGGTGGTAGAAGGTAACAGACTAGTTAAAAGTGACGTCGAAGACGGTGCCGCGGCAGGGGCTGGACTGAAGCTGGTACTGGCAGGTGACCACACTGGAGCCGCCACCCGACACCAAGCTGTGCCCCCCACACCACCACCAGCACCGCCAGTCCACCACGGCGGCGGCGGTCCCCACGGCGACTGCTGTTGCTGCTGCGACGGCTGCTGCTGCTGCTGCTCCTGAGGCTGCTGCTGCCGCTGCTCCGAGGCACCAGCCTCGGTCCCCTCGTCTGTACCACTATCCCCTCCACCACCTCCGCCACCTCCTCCAACCCCGCCACCCCCGCCACCCCTCCCGCCGCCACGCCCCCCCCCCTGGGCCTGGCGTCCCCTACCCTGACGAGACTGCGCTGAGGCCACCACAACGGTCTCAGCAGTAGGGGCCATCTCAGCAACAGCGGCAAAGACGTCAGAGTAAGTGCACTTGGAGGGAGCACAGCCGTGGAAGATAGGGACCGCTGCAGTACTGCTTGACTGAGCAATAGTGCGCTGGCGGGTCTCTATCGTCAGGGTAGTGACCAAGTCAGTGAGGGTGAGGTCAGCAGGGTGGAGGGCAAGAAAGTGGTCGCAGGCAGTGACTAGGCAGTCAGGAAGGCGAGTGGCAAAGTAGCGTCGAAGGGGGGAGGCAGTACAAGGAGCTAAGCCTCAGTGCTAGCAGCGTGGTAGCGAGCCTCTAGTGGGAAAAAATGCAAGGTGAGGAAAGAGCAGGGGGAGGAGGAGATGACCGGTAGAGGCGGAGGAGGGAGTGGAATAGCGTGCAATAACAACATCTAAGAAAGTCAGCGCAGTCTCTAGGGTCTGGTAGCAGGGGCGCTCAGACAGGGGGAGAGCGCGACTGATACCAAGCTGCGCAACTGTGTCACGCGATTCCCACATAGAGTGAGCGAGCTCAGTAGCTGCAAAGGCCTCACGCTCAGCGGACGTGGGGGCGTCAGAGAGGGCAGCAGGCGGATCGGGGCAGGGGGTCTTACCGTCGACGTGAACGGCCAGAGACTGGCCATCCTGGCACTGTCCCCCAACTGAGCGGCGGAGGTCGGTGAGCCACGCCTAAAAGTCGATCGCCTGACCCTTCGCGTCCACGCGGAGCACAGCGCCTGCCATCGCCACGGCTGCAGCAGCTGAACGCCGCTAGGGGAGGAGGAGGATAGGGCAAGGAGAGCAGCGGTGGAGACGGCCGTCGGGAGCGCCGGCACAGAAGGGGGAACCAGGGCCGGCACGTCGGGGCGCCACAGCAGCACGGCGGCTCGGTGCCTCGGCAACTCAGCGACGCGACGGCTCGGCTACTCGGCGGCTCAGCGGCACGGCGGCACGGCTACTCGGCGGCTCGGCGGCTCGGCTACTCGGCGGCTTGGCGGCTCGGCGGCGCGGCTCAGCGGCTCGGCGGCTAGGCACGACGCGATATGGAGGGGCCGGCGTGGCGTGACGGGGCCGGCATGGCGTAACGGGTCGGCGCGGCGTGACGGGGTCGGCGCGACGTGACAGGGCCAGCGCTGTCTAGCGGAGCCGGCGCGGCGGGACGGGGACGGTGCGGCGTAACGGGGCCAGCGCGGTCTAGCGAGGTCGGCGCGGCGTGACGGGGCCGGCGCGGTCTAGCGGGGCCGGCACGGTCTAGCGGGGCCGGTGTGGCGTGACGGGGCCGGCGCAGTCTAGCGGGGTCGGCGCGGCGTGACGGGAGCCGACGCGGCGGGACGGGGCCAGCGCGGCGTAACAGGGCGCGTGCTAGGGCGCGGTCTAAGGCTAGGGCTACAGCTAGGGCTAGGGGTGGAAGTGTAGGCGGGGAGGGGGACCTAACCTAGCGTGATACCATGTTAGAATAACGCAATAAAATAGATTGTGCCATGCATGGAGGTTTTGTGCTATGGTGTTGTACCCTCTATGAGCATGCACCTATGTAGTCTATAACACATACAAATATATGTTGACATGCCTCTCCTTCCTGCATGCTCTTTCCTCCCCCATGCCTCTCCTCCCTACATGCTCTTTCCTCTGTCCATGCCTCTCCCCCTCTCCCCGTCCGCAAGCCATCCCCCCTCCCGCCCTCTCCTCCCCCTTATCCCTCTTATCCCGCCTATCTCTCATGTACCTCCTTTCCACCCTCTCCCGAATGTACCTACCCTTCCGCCTGCCCCTTTTCTTATCGAGGCGATCTCTCTTCTCCGTCCTATCCCTCCCATCCCTCCTATTTGTGCCTTTCCTCCTATCCCTGATGCTCCCTCCGGTCCCTCGCATCCCTCCCGCCCCCTTCCCATCTCCCCTTTTCTCCCTCTCCACTTCCCATCCACCGCCGTCCCTCCTCTCGTACCCTCCCTTCCCCCCTCCCGTCGTGTCATTTCCCCATGTCCATCCTCCCAACGACCAGTCGTCCACTCCCCGTCCGCCTCACATCCTCTCCGCGTCCCCCTCGTGTCCTCTCCGCGTCCCCCTCGTGTCCTCTCCCCGTCTACCCTGCCGTTCCCCCTCACAATCTATCCCCTTCGCCCTTGGAAAACCTTGCTCCCCGCTCTCGCTTCCTCGCCCATCCGCCCTAACATCCTCTCCAACGTGCCCTCGCATCCTCTCCCCTCCGCGCTCGCCTCATCTCCTCTCCGTTCTCGTCGCGTCCTCTCACAGACGCTCTTCCCTCCGTCCGACACTAGCCGTTTCCTTCTCTCTCTCGCTTTCGACATCGCTTTCCCTCCCAATCGTCTGGCGCGTTGCGCCGCATGCCTGTCCTGGACTTTCGGGCGCCGTCCTCCCCCCTCGTTTCGTGGAGTGTTTTTCTTAGCCATTCCGTCGTTTCGCAGTTTCTCCCGCCTCGCCGCACACCCCTTTTTCGCTCGCGTTTTCGTCACTGGAATAGGTCACGCTGCCTTTTTTGCAAGGTCGGTGCACTACCTTGACTCTAGACTCTGTACTCTAGGGATAGCACTGGGGCGCGTGTGTGCGAGGGGAAGCTACATTAGTTCCCACTCAGGCGTTGCTGTTTGTGGTGTGCGTTTGGGCGGGGGGCTGGATCCATGCCTTCAGGGCATGTTTCCGCGCTTCTCATTTCGTTGTTTCTTGTCAGATTTCTATGCATGGCACACATTCCCCGGTATTTTTAGAGATTGCGTGTGGTTACTACCAGCAATTTTTTGCCCTCACAAACACCCCCGAAGTTTTCGGAGTTAGTTTGTCGCCCAAACTAACCCTGCGACCCTTTTCGGTTTTGACGAAGTCTCAAATTGTTTCGTGCTGATCGCGCGTGGGTTGCACCCAGTCCAGTCGTTTTTTCTCGTTTCGTTCAACTCGGTAATTTCGCCCACCCTCCCAGCCAAAACCAAAGTTTTTGGGTGGGGGGGTTTTGAGATATGCGCCCCCCTAAATCTGTAACCGAAGGTTCGCGAAAACGCCCTTTCTGTCGCGAGTCGCGACGGACAATAAGGGCGTGTCCCAAGCATATGTTTTGCTCTATGACCCTAAACAACCGCTTCAGAGACTTATTTCATCCTTCTGACTCGGATAGCATCCCACCCAACCGCAATCCGATGTCTGCTTATTTCCTCCATGACACCCTTGCCCCATTTTTCCTCCACCCTTTTCTGCTCATTTCTGTTCGGTTCCTTCGCATCTGTTCGTCGACCAGTTTTACTGGTTATCTGTCGTTCACTGAGTCGCGGTCCCCATACCTCGCCGTCGTGCCTCCATCCGTCCGTGCTGATCGTCGTCGCGTGTGTGGATATCGCTTCGTTTGAGCCGCGCTGAGCCGCCGATTGGAGCGACGCACTCGTGCCGGCCTGGGCCGAAGCGGTGAAGTGGTGCAGGTGTGTCGTGCGTGGGCAGCTGACGCCTAGCAGTGCGAGTTTGTTAGTTCCCTCCTTCGATCTCGTTAAAGACCTTTCTGGGTTCCTGTTAGTCCCGCCGCTCAGTCAGCTGCTACCGTCGCCACACGTACACAGGTGTATCTGGGTGATCTGCTTTGTCTGCCGTCGCCTTCCGTCGCCTGCTGTCGCCGGTCGTCGCCGGGCGACGTCGCGATGTCATATTTGCTGCCGCATCTGCACAGCGGGTGGGCCGTGGACCAGGCGATCCTGTCGGAGGAGGACCGCGTCGTCGTGATTCGATTCGGACACGACTGGGACGACGTGTGCATGCAAGTGAGTGTGCTTAGCTAAATGGATGTTTAGCTAAGTGCAGGTGTGTGTCTAAGAAAGTGCTGGTGGAACAAATGTGTGCATGCAGGTGGGGGTGCGTAGCAAAGTGGGAGTTTAGCAAAGTGCAGGTGCGTGTTTAAGTACGTGCATGCAGGTGGGTGAAGTGATGCGTGTATGCAGGTGGGTGAAGTGATGCGTGCATGCAGGTGGGTGAAGTGATGCGTGTATTTAGGCGGGTGAAATGATGCGTGTATGCAGGTGGGTAAAGTGATGCGTGTATGCAGGTGGGTAAAGTGATGCGTGTATGCAGGTGGGTGAAGTGATGCATGTATGCAGGTGGGCGAAGTGATGCGTGTATGCAGGTGGATGAAGTGATGCTTGTATGCCGGTGGATGAAGTGATGCGTGTATGCAGGTGGGTGAAGTGATGTGTGCATGCATGTGGTGAGGCTAAAGGCGGCTGTCGATGCGATAGCAGTTCGGTGCTGCGCTTGCTGGCCGGGGTAAGGGGATGCGGCATGGGGTTCGATGTAGGTGTATCGTCTGCGACTTGCATGTCAGGGCCAACACAGCCCTGCAAGCTCTGGCGAGCCCTGTTTTGCGTTCTAGTTATGGGGCGTCAAAGCAGGTGACAGTGGTCCAGATCCGTTCGGAATCGAGTAGAGGGATGGAAGGTGGAGCACGTGAGACGTAGTTGGCTTCAAAGCTCTGCCTTTCCTCACCCTCTTTTCTTCTCATCTCCATCCCTGCCCCCCTTTCCACGATCCCTTTGCCCCTTTCACCCGTCCCTCCCCTCCCCTCACCCAATTCCACCCACTTTTCTCCCCCTCCCTCCCCATGGTCGTCCCCGTGCGCCGCATGAGCGAAGTTCTGTATGGAGGGTCGTAAGAGCTTCGCTGTGGTCTACCTGGTGGTATAACTCTTCCGAAGTGCCTCCTGTGGCGTCCATCTGCTGATTATGGAGCCTCTTCGTTCGGCCCCTTTTGACCCCTTCCTTCAAACCCCTTCCCCCCGCTTCCGCCTCCACCCTTTCTCCTCCCCCTCCTCTCCCCACCCACCCCCTCCCCCCCCTTCCCCCAACTCCTTTCCCTCACCGGCGTCCCTGCCTTCCTCCTTCACCCAGTCCCCCCCTTACCGTCATGTGCTCCCCACCTTCCCCCTTACTTGGATACCCCTACCCATCAGATGGATGAGGTAATGGCAGGTGTGGCCGATACAATTATTAGCTTTGCAGTTTTTTGCCTAAGTTGCACTAAACGCGTATGGCGTTTGATACGCTAGCGTATACTCGCTATATGCTTTTGGGGCCACGTATACGCTAGGTATACGCTTGTCCGGGCAGGCGGAAAAAAATCCCCGGGCAGGAAAAAAACGTGTCTAGGGAGGGGGAAAAGGGGGAATGTGGTGTGGGGCATAGTTTTTCATTGCAGCATGAACCAGAGATCATAGTTAAGCCTTTAAGGCTTAAATAACTTCTTATTGTTTCATCCATGCGGACATGGCGCTGCCTAAAAAACGAGGCGACGTGGTGCTTCCTAAGCTACAATTCTAGCTTAATCTGCCACCTGATGCGGCTGGTAGATTAAGCGGTTGTAGGTTTAGCGTGTTTGGTGGTAGAGGTACACAGAGCACATTTGACGTTTGGTTGGGTTTGGTAGATGCCTTGGGGTGCAGTGCGGTTGGGGGGGGCAGATTGGTTGGAAGTTGGATTTGGGCGAAAATTTGGGGGTCTCGAACATTTCGCGTTAGTGTGGCTGGCTTCGCCACGTCGCGAAGTGGCAATCTAAAAATTTGCGCTTTTTTTCGATGGGCTGCCCCCGAAATTTCTGCCGAGCGTAAAGCGTTCATACGCTCGTATAGCGTATAGCGTCTAAACGCTGCGTATATACGCTATACGCTGCGGATTCTGAGCGTTTAGTGCGAGTTAGTCTTTTGCCTAATTGACATCTCAGAGGTCCCTGATTTGAACACCGTGTACGAGCTCTACGGCCCCTGCACAGTCATGCTCTCCCTTCCCTGTGCTTCCCTCTGTTGGTCGAGGTGCTTGCAGGAGTGGCCGGGATCATCAAGAACGTCGCTGGTTGACATACCCTGAACCCGATACCATTTACGCTGTACTGTCATGTTCTTCTCACCTTTTTCTCCCCCTTCCTCCCCTCCCTTGGTCCCCCCTTTGATGGCATGTGATTCATCAGATGGATGAGGTACTCGCCGGTGTTGCCGAAACCATCAAGAACTTTGCTGTTGTGTACCTGGTGGACATCTCCGAGGTGCCTGACTTCAACACCATGTACGAGCTGTACGACCCGTGCACGGTGATGTTCTTCTTCCGCAACAAGCACATCATGATCGACCTGGGCACCGGCAACAACAACAAGATCAACTGGGCGCTGAAAGACAAGCAGGAGTTCACGGACATCGTCGAGACAGTCTATAGAGGGGCAAGGAAGGGGCGTGGGCTGGTGGTGTCGCCGAAGGACTACTCGACCAAGTACAGATACTAGGGGATGGGCGGACTTGTCTTGCATTGCATTCTCATGTTACATAAGATTGACGTTATACAAGTCATTACACATGCATGCTAACAAAGAGGTCCAGTAGTCTGGTCTGGTATGGTGGTGTCACCTAATGTAATTTTTTGAAAGCGTGTAGCGCATTCTAAAAATGTGTATTGTGATAGTGTAGCAAGGGCCAACGCAGCAAAGGCAGCGGCGAAGCGCACCTAACCCTCTTTTGCATTCAAAAGAGGAACGTGAGGCCTCTCGGCCTCACCCACGTTCTTCATTTCTAGTTCCACTCATTTGAGTTTCCCTCATTTGAAGTTCCTAGTTCTTGTTTTTTGTTCTCGTCCAACCTGGCGAAAACTCAGTCACTTCCACGCTTCAGGGGCACCATCGACATTACTAACCGACATTTTGCAGCATAACCTATCGGCAATGACTCCCGCCAATTCTGCACCAACTCGCGAGGCGAACACCCCCGCAAATATCGGTGATCTCGGAACTTCGGACCAGGTAACCGACCGTCGCCAAAAACGCCCTGCTGAGGACAATTTTGGCGAGGGGACCTCGGGTGTCGATATTCTGCTCGGCGCAACTCACGCCACCCCAGAAGAAACACGCGCGACTGCCAAGCAGCCGCGCGTGCAGTCAACCGAGGTCCACACGCCGAGCCGCGCCGCGCCGCCCGCCGCCCAGGCGGGCCCCACCGTTCAGGACGTGCCTGCCGAGGAGCTCGCCCCACCCGCCGCCACCCCCGC